AAAAAAAAAAAGAAGAAAAGAAAGAAATCGTAAACGTACTTAGAGAGCACAATTTTGTCCGTTCGCGATAAAGTGCTAGCGAGTGTAAATGGACGCTAAACATTAGCATGTCGACGGGTTTTTCATAGCGTTCCGCCATTGGAACGTTGTCTCTGTCCGTACCTGTTTTTTCTTACAACTAGTGTGTAACTAAGAGCATACGTTTTTCCAGAGGAACGAAGACTTTCATCTATGAGGAGAGAAAAGAAAAACGGGATGATTAAGTATGATTGAATTCGATCATTCGACGAGCTATACTAGATATAACAATTGAATTAATCGTGATCCCCTTTTTCCTATATATTTCTCGAAGTCTATAGTTTCTTCTATTTTTTTAAGAGTCGATCATTTCACTCGGATGAACTTAGATCGAATCCATTGCTCGTGCATGATACTCTACGTTTATACGCTGCGCGAAATACAGATTGTTTGTCACTTTCGAGTTTTTTGTTTTTTACAGAGTCTTCGAAATTTCTAATTTATTGTACGTCTTTTAAGAATACGTTGTGAACTCTGACTTCAACTGTCTACCCACGAACATCTGTAGGTTTGTAAGCGCGAATGCTTTTTACGCGTAATACTAGGGTGTCTGAGAAATATTACGTAACGTTCACTTCGACGAAGTTTAATTATTTTTAAAATAAATATCAAAATAAAAAATGAAATACATGTGGCACATTTTTCCTTAGAAGTCTTTCCATCATAATTGCACGAATTTCCATTTCTTCCAATAAAATAAAATTTCGCGAAATTTAAGGATACCGTTACACTCTTACTATATTACTATTTTATATTTATTATCTGATATTTACTATGAAAATCTAGCTCTTCACGAAAAGGAAAGAATTAAAATTATTAAAAATTCTCATTGAGAAAAGAATTTCTTCCAAAATACGTAGTATTTTTAACGTTAGAACCATCAATCATTAAAGCGAAAAATATATAAAAAAAATAAGAATACGCAAGAAGATGTGATAATTAAAAGAAGAAATATCTAAATCAAAAATCAATGAAATTACTGCGAAAAAATTATATAATAAATTGATAGTTCTAACTTCGAAGACACCCCGGTATTTGAGCGGAGCATCTTTCTCGAAGCTTCACCGCGAGAATTGATCGAATCGTTAGTACGAAGCTTGATAGGATAGGAATCGGTAGACGCGGCTGACTATCGCACAAGAAGCGAAGTTTCCCACGAGGAAAAAAATCTGACATTCGTTCTCGATGGAACGTCGCGAAGTTGAAAGTCTTCTTCGCGTAGCGCCATTTTTGACGCGCTCGCGCGATCCACGTCGGGTTTCCTCGAAACTTCGACACGGAGAAAGGCCAAAAAGTTGCTCCTTTCCCGGGACGGTCCGATTTCTCCG